GTTTGTATTTGCATAGGGCTCAGCAGAATGGGTGCTAATGTAAAAAATAACAACACAAACCACAAAACCCAACAAAATCCCTTTACCTTGCAGCATAGTAACTGTCACTAGGGGTCAGTATTAAAACATATTACCTTTATACAATACAGCTACTGGCATTCTATTGTTGATGCCCTCCTTCAGAAACACAAACTTATGTTATAAAGAAGATCTATTAAACCATAAAAAAGACAAAACTTATACAATGGATTATTACCTATTTCTGTTCTTAAACGTATCTCTCATGTACTAGAAATTTTTGTTCCTGTTCTCATAAATTAATGCATATATTCATGCTAATGTATTATCTTACATAATACCAACGCTTCAATATGGATCCATTTATGTGAATTAGATTCCATCTACAGACTTGAAAGAGAAAAGCTATGATTAAGTTTCCCATTTTCTAATAGGGAAGATTACTACCTAGTGATATTACTAGCTAATGGTAATAATCATTATTTCCTAATGATAATAAAAAAAAAATTGAAATGTAAGAAAACTGGACATTCTTTAAATTCCTCCCTGGACAGCCATACCCATCTTAAAAACAATAAAAATCTGTTGTGGATCCTGAAAATGAAGGTGAGAGACTCTCACTACAGGTGAGCATTATCCCCACAGAATAGACTGAGGGTGTAGTTTGGGTCATTAGATCAGTATATGAATTTGGAATAGATGCAATACCCACTGAAGTCAAGGGAACAACTCAGTTTCTCTTCATTGGGCATTGCCCATAACCAATGAGTTCCCAGCCTGTCTTCCTATCCCCAGCCTGCTCCCAGATCTTGGAAATCTTAATACATTTGCAAAAGTATACATTCAGATGCTGTGATAATACCTGTAACTGCCTACATAGATGTAATTTTGCTCATGTAAACAGATCCACTGATTCCTATGAAGAATTAAACAATTAGAAAATGAAGTAACATCAAGCTTGCTGACTTTGCAATTTTGGGGATGATACTTTACTATCTATACTATTATATCTAGATATAATACTTAGAAATATGTAACATGATACTAATTATAAACCCCAAGAGAAATATTCTGCCAGGTCATAAGTCTGCCATTTACCACAATTTCCTGCAGCCCTTAGTACAGCTGAACAAAACCCATCCCTTTCATTCTTCCCTCAGACCAAACTCTAACTAAATGCTATAAATTTTGCACTTAAAATAAACAATTTAAGACAAATATTATTGAGGCTGTTAATTAGTTTTCATGTCCAGTACAAAGCTCTAAATTTCAGAGCATATGTTTTTCTTTAGTGGTAACTCCATTAGGTGCCCAGAATTCAGCCATTGCCAGATTTACGAAGGCAGCTATTAGAAATGGCATTTGTGCTATGACAATACTGAAGAAAAGAGCCAGTCAAATTAACATCTGACTAACTGGTACACTTGAGATCTTATTTCTATGTGTTACTTCTAACTAATATCGTATGTATATTTAACACTGGCTTATCCTAAATACATGAAAAGCGAAAATAATTGATTATGCTCTAAATAGGAAAAAATAAGCAGAGGCTGAAGTAACATGTTTGTTCTGTAGTTAGTTGTACAGCACAGAATAATTTATTTTTCTGTCCAATAGATGGCACTGCTGCTTCTTTGTGTGTAATTTTTCAATTTGTGCATAATGTACATTATTGAAGTGATTGTGCCTACATTTCCCGGTGCTTGGACATATCAAAAATAGACAGATTTCATAGATTCTTTAAAATGGCATTCTGCTGTCCAAATAACTGTATACAGTTTTCAATAAATCAAGTTAGTGTTCTGGATTAAAAAATGTAAAGTGGATGCAAATACCCAGCTGAACATAATTCTCTTCTTCCCAGAAGCAGACCACAGAAACAAATTCTGACATATATATCAAGGGTGGTCTCAGAGCTACACACATAGTAACATGACAAAATAATATCTTTATTGTATGTTAGAATGAGTACATGGGATTTTAAACTGCAATATACTTTGCAATTTTATTTTTATTTAGCCTAATGATTAACAAGTTTACAAAGAATTTATCATCAATATACAGTAGCATTAAAATTCTGTCATTACTTTATGATAAAATTTTGATAAAAGCATCATCTAGGGGTGTCAATCTGTAAACTAATGAGGCATTTGACCACCATACTTTTTTCTATGTCTAATGAAGCATGACACAATACCAGCTCTGCAGCAAAAACTTAAATGCTGAAATATTTTATTAGTTATTTATAGTAATTTTTATGTGCTCTGGTAGAGATCATATTGAAAATCCATATTCTCCAGTAAACCTGAAAACTCAAAGAGTTTGTATGGGACTCATGTTCTCTTCTGCTCTAGGTCTTTGGTTAAAACACTACGGGGGCCAGAGTAATTCATTAATTTACTTATTTTTGCCAAATTGTGGTTGCTTGGGGACTTGTGCGAAATGACAAGCTGGTCTCTGTCCCGTTCATCGTGAACAGGTGTTCTAATTACAGAACCTCCACCATATTTGACACCTTTATTAGCTGTCTCAGTTGAGAAACAAAGGATTGATTGGGTAAGGGTATAGAACTAGCCTTTCATTGCTGTGGGGAAGCACCTAAAGGTCAAGGTTAATATACATTAGTGGGGGGTAGTATTGCCCATCGCCTATGCTGTTCTTGTGTTATTAATCAATGGAAGACTTTATCCTTATGAGCTAGCTATTGTGGGAGCCTTAATTACACAATTTGTTTTAACTTGTATTTTTTCCTATATTATATGAAAAGCAGACAACACTTCTTGAACAAATATTCTTAACAAGCAAATCTCCAGCAAAAATAGCAGTGTCTTGTACTCTGTTTACATTTGGTAATATATACTGTACAAAATGAAAGGGCAAGGTACACATCCTTCAATCAATACAGGCAAAAATGCTCATGAAATGAAATATGGCAGAACATATGTATATGGGTTCAACAACATTGAATTTTGGGTTGGCTGGTAAAAAGTGAAAACATTTATAGTAAATAGTCTTCCTCTTTACTGTAGCCATTTTGTTCTTGCCACATAAAGTCTACCTGCTACTAGCTTTATGATTTAATATTCTTGGAGAGTTTATAACAAGAATCTAATATATAACCAATAAAAGGGCACTAGTCTCATTAGATTCATTTGGGACCAGACTATTGTCAACACAATTATACAGCAAAGTCACATTATTATAAAAGTATATCAGTATCTTCATTGTATATACACTTATTTTCAATGGTTTACAAGACACACACACAAAATATTCCAGAATGAAATATGATTATGGTAACTCAATCTGGAATGCATTTTCTCCAAACTATTTTTTTTTCTATTACATGAATGTAAAATAAATATGGGCCAGATACTCAGTCAGTGAGCTGGAACTATACCAATTTATATCAGCTGAGGGTTCTACTCTATATATTCATTTATAGATCCTAGTCACACTTGGACCCTTCTATGACTTATTAATGGTTTTGATTTAGAAATGAAGCTTTGAAGTAATTATATAGTCACATGGCATTGATCCAATATACATATTTAATGTAAATTATTGCCTCCTGATATTCACAGAAGAACTGTGATTATATTATCTGGTGCCTCCATATTGTACTTGGAGCTGGATTGCAAAAAGAGAGAAGTATATGTCAGCCACCTTTACAATGTCTTGACTCTGCCCAGCAAGAAACAAATACGGACTTCATTATAATGCAGAGGAACAGAGACAGCTATTTCCCTGCCTGAGGTCTCAGAGAATTGTTCTAGCAGTTGAGCTAAACAATGTCCTGGCTATCTCCTTGGCAAAAGAAACTGAATGAGTTGGCATAAGCTGCTATACTAACTCAAAACTCTCCAGAAATTCCCTTTTCACAATGTGGAACCTCAAAGGGCTGCACTACGAAAAACAGCTGTAGCAGAGCTGAAAGTTTGACCCCTAGACTCCAGTACTGTGCTCTTTTTATACGTGTATGATTCCCACTGACACCAACTGAAGAGTCATGCACATGAGGAGAGCAGAATATCAGACAAAAAATCTACTATGTGAATCTGAGAACAAAGTGCTACTCTCTTGTGTCAAATTATGGCTCCATCTGGTAACATTAAGTGAATACTGGGGACTATTAGAGCTGAATCAATAAATTGAAACAAATAATTTATTTGGTGAGTTATTTTACTTTTTCACTTCAAAGAATGCCTGCGAATGGATTACAACTTCCTCAAGTATATTCCAGGAAACTTTTAAGGAATTTTATTTTATGGTTTGTTAGTTACATGTGATTGCTCATATACATCAGACTGCTCTGTTTCTTTTCCCTGAACAGAACTTTTAATAGAGCTGGGATAACAGAACTCTGCAACTGACAGTAGAATTTAGTTGATACAATTATTTTGGAAGTTATAGTCAGCTAACCATCCTTTGTTAGTTATTTTGGATACTGAAGTTACACTTCTTTTGTTTTAGAGAATGAACTATAAGCATTCTGTATTACTCTGGAAACAGTAAAAAAAGAAAGACAAGGCCAATATGCAAAATATCTGAGTGCTATTATCTCCCTCAAAGACTGGGCTTAAATCAGTCAAAAAAGTTGCATGAACCATCAAATTTTAAAGGATACCTTACTGACTTTGAATTTTCAAAAACTATTCCACGTTGAATGTCTTAGATTACAAGGCATATTTCCCTCATATATTCTCTTCAAAACATGATTTATATCTTTGCTTTCTTTACAACTGCTTCATAGCTTTCCTTGATAGCATAAACATTAGTAGACATAGAGTAACTCTTGTAACACTGATGAGAACCAACCCATTCCAGATGATTCATAAGCACCAAAAAGTGCCTTACAGTCGAATTCAAACAGATCTGCCTTGTAGGATAAGGACAAGACAAGGCATTCTTTAAAAATCAAAATATTATCACTTACATTCAGATTAGTGTTTTAAATAATAATTTAATTATTGCAGACTCACCTTGCATTACTAGGACTGGCTGCTGTCAAATTAGCTAATGCTGTCACTGCAGCTTCTTTTACCTCTTCATTGTCACTGCTTAGCAACTGTACTAGCTGGGGAATCCCTTTGAAAGAAATAATTGTATACATGAACCTTTAAATAAACCATGGCAGTCTGCAAAATTACAATAAGCTCCTTATAAAAGGAAAAGCACAGATTCTCAGTTCGTCCCTTCCCACCTTACTTACCCTGGAGTCCAAATGCACATTTGCTAGCTAAATTCTCACACATGGCAGAAATTGCTTGGGAAGCAGCAACTTTAACTCCATCATTATCAATTTCCAAAAGGTTTATGAGACGCTTCTCAACTTCTTCCTCATTTAGGATTTTTCTATTTTCAGCTTTAAGCAAAAAAGAACAATAGCATTAATCTGCATTCATTTTTCAAATCAGTGAAAGGACATGAATTTGACTTCATATAGTTGTTTCCAACATAACACTTGCTTTTGATACCATGGAAATGGAAATATTTTGGTAATGGAGGCAACAGCAATTAAGAAATGTGCACAAAGGACCTGATCCAAAACCTGCTAGACTTCATTGAACTCTGAATCAAGCCCAAAAGATGACTATTAAATACAGCTTTAAACATACAAAGCCCAACAGAATGCAACGTTTGTTCTCTATAAGACTTAAAACCACAGAATGCATACAAGCTTGATGAAAACAACTTTTCCAATTCAACAGATCATACTTACTCAGGATCATGCTTAATTTCGGTTTATGCTAACAAAGTCCAAATGCATAAAATCGAAGAACATTCTAGCAAATATACAATTGAACTTGGTGGAGTACCAAGTTAACGTTAACGTAACCAAGTACGTTAACATACTACAATAGCCAAAAAAAGGCAAGGGGTGTTAAAAATTGAATTTTAAATTCTGCACAGCTTGCAGTTCTTAATTAATGCACACTTTGCTGAGAATTTCAATTTTGTATTTCAGCCTAATGACAGAGGGTTCTTGACCTACGCTGCAGTGATCAGCAGCACCTAAGGAAGGACATAGATGTTCCCTTCCTCTACACAGGTAACAACATAGAGCGTCTACAAAGTATCTAGAGTCATCTGACAATTACACTAATAAACTCACTCATCCCAAAATGGATGAGATCAGAAGTGCAGGTGTTTGTTAGAAACAGCTCTGAGTGAAACTTTCTCAGGCAGAAAGGCACGAGACAGCATAGAAGCTCCACAGTTTGAGGGTCAATAAACATTTAACCGTATGCATAATTTAAAGCAGATTAATTACATGCTGGAAGTTATATCTACATGGTAAAATTTTCAAATGTATCAAAGAAATTCAGGAACTGAGAAGTTAGTAGGACTTCGACACATTTGGAAATTTTACCAGTTCTTACTAATGCTTTGAGGGATCATCCCCTTATTTGGAGTGTTGTCTTACAAATAAAAAGTTTAAAAAGGAAAGAAAAATATTTTAAAGTATTCTTTTAAATAAAACTGAATCTGTAGCGAATAAAAGTAAACAAATAGAAGTCCACAAAGCCAATGAAAAGAAAGTTTGATTGAAAATCTAGTTACAGCAGAAATGACTCAATGCACATACATAAGACAGCTGGCCGTTTTCTCCTCTCTAGCTCAATTTTAAATATTTTCAGAATCAGAGATAAGCAGTTGAAATCACAAAGCAAAAGATGCAACAAATAAAACAGAGAGGATTTTAAGTGTCAGCAGAACCTTGGCCACAACCTTGATGCATATCAGCCAGCTCTCAAGAGAAGGCCTTAATTGGGATTACAGACCGTTTTGACAAGTTATCAAGTATGCCGCTGGCCAGTTGCTTGCCAAAGTGGTCCATAATCCCTAATAATGATCTCTAGAGGTTCTTCATGCCTCAGTAATTTAGTTCTTGTACAGCAAGTTACTTATTACTATACAGCTTTTCTTAAAAATTATTCTTGGTTTTAAAGGCAGTTATGTTGATGGGTAAGCGTTTCAACTTAAAGATAATTTATCCCTATATGAAATAATAATAATATGACTAATTAATTTGAATGAGTGAAAATAGTGATTTAAAATATTTTAAACAGAACAAAGAATTTTTCAATAATGTGGAAAAACAGATTTTGGATTTGAATTTACAGTAAAGAGTATGCATCTTTATTTAGCTAGCTAGACAGATGAAAATTATTAATATTTTAAGATCCAGGTGCCAATTCTATTTAATGGATGATGTTTTCTTCTGATCCTCTCTCTATTTGTTTGAGTTGTTTCCTTTGTTTTCTTTACTGTAGAAAAGAATGTACAATTGAAAAGCATCCTTGGTACTTAAGCACTTCTCACGTCAGTGTCAACACCATATTTACAGTGATGAATTTCTTGACCCCTAAGTAATTTGAATACATTGATTTAACACAAAGTAAAATACTCAGGCACATCCAACTACAAGAGTCCAGAGTAGTAACACTTCTGTCCAGTTTTTCATGCATGGATCCCATCATGAGCCAACCTTTGGTTTTCAATATATTTTCCTATTTCCCCTTCTTACCCCAAAATCATGATCAGAGTTCTTCTGATTACTATTCACCTCACTGTCATCACCTTATGGAATTATTTATACCAATCTCAAATGAAAAAAAGTTAATGTTAAATAGTATCATGACCTCTCATTGATCTTGAGTTGAGATAACCCAAATAAATAAAAACCTGTATTATGAAAAAGCATATGTTCATCAGGCTACAGAGCATGTTCAGTATGCTCCCTTTTGAAAGGATTTGCATTTAGATACATATAAAGAACACGGACAGCTTCAAACCAGAAGTTTGGCAGAGTGAGGCCAAACTCAAGTGAGCATGATCATCACTTGCGCCATACACACTCCATAGCATTTTGTTGTTGGTGGTGTGTCTGGCATTGTCAGGGGAAAGTCAGGTCCTCCTTAATCAACAGTTCAGATAATCCACTCACAGATATTCAATAATTTATAGCATTAAATTATATTTTGCATTCTGAAATGACTGCATTATTTGCTGGGCAAGGAGGGAATCACCATAAAATTCAACACTGTAATTCTGAGCATACAAACTAAAACCATTGATAAATTAATATATTAAATTCAAAATTACGTTACAGAACAAAACAAATTTTCAGGGGCAAAGGGATAATGATTATGTATAGAAATATGATCAATTTTAATTTACTTAAACAGAGCAGCATCCTAAAGATGCTGTTTAAAATTGAATGTAGTGTTTCTACCATGTAATTTATCTGATATTGAGAGTAGCTCTTAAGGGATACATCCATCTTATAACAACAACAACAAAAAATTACAGGAGTCTCTTTCCAAAAGGCTGAAAGGGACATAAACCAAAACTGTTTGCTATGATCACATCTATCAGGAAAAAAACAAAACTAAATTCCATCTGTCAACAATAATAATTTCAAAACCAGACACTGCTGTATACTCAGCTGCCAGGATTAAAAAAACAGCTAGATATATGTTCTGACGTAGCAGAAGTAAGTTTTTCATTTCAGTGAAAAGCAGCTGTGGTTTTTTTTTTCTCAAGTGTGCAGGAAATGTTGGTAAATTGCAACCACAATTATCAAACTTGAAGAATGTGGGCTACTGTATGGCTATTGCAAATTTAAATAAAAAGTCATAAAAGCACTTAGAGCTGTGTTGTATTATATTGCATTTACATCAAGGCAAGTGTTAATATAGTATACATTAGTGTTGCAGTTTGAATAGGCTGTTTAGTATATTTACAACCAGAATCCAAACAAACAAGAACTGCAAATATTTCTGTTTTCTTTTTGCACTTGGACTATTTCTTATAATAGCCCCAAGGCCACTTTTCTTTCCACTGGGAGGCTGACTTTAGAGCAGTAGCTCTATGTATCTGAAATAAATTCAATACTTCTGGGGGCCATGTTGAGCAACAAGTTTACTGGACTGTTTTCCACTGCACCAGTACAATAGGTTGCCTTTGTCTAACTGGTTGTCACCAAAATTCTACAGCTTGGAAGCAAGTATTTTAAATCTTCTTTTGATCTATTTTCCCAGCTTGCTGCATCCATACCAACTGTCATAGGCTGAAGAAGAGAGCAAGCCTTTACAATGAAACCACATTGATTCCATTTGTAAAGAAGTATGACAAGAAGATGCATCTTCACTGACGGTAACATCCCATGATATAAGATCATAGGCAGTACTGTAATATATTATGTGTAGTTCTTGCCACCGTGCTTTAAAAATGTTGTGTTCAGACATGCTTCTACTAACAGCTGCTAAAATATTAGGCCTCAAAAACTGAAAAAGGTGTGAAAGAGGAAAAGAAGGCTATGCTTATTTGAAAATAAATATGAAAAAGGAGTAAGATGCAGTAGAAAGCAGTAGGAGGAAATATAAATCTGCTTAGCATACTACTTACAAGCCTGTCACAGGACTATAAAAATGATACTGACAGTTCTAAGTAGCATAATAAAATAACAATACAGGAAAATACACAAAGAAAATACCGGCATAAGAAGGTCCCTTCCTATCTCTGATACCTAAAGATTAATGAAAATAATTTCCAGTGACTTGCAAAGCTTCCAATAGATAATGATAAAAGCATACAGAAACCCACAGAATACTAGGAAAGGTAGATTTCACTCTTTTCATGTATTATTTGCAATCCAAATAATTACAAATATTCAGGATGTCAAACTAAGGAAGGTGAGAAAAGAATTGGAAAGATAGGATAGGGAGAGAAGAAAGTTTTTTGAAATACTGTAGACAGGAGAGATTATTTTAGCCATGTATTAAATTTGATAACATATTTGTAAAATACACATAAATTAAACCCCTGATTCAACCACAAGATGATAGAAATATGAATGAAATATTTAAGCTCTACTGTCATAGTCACTGTCACCAAAATCCCTTGACAGAATTAAAATCTTCCATAGTCAGAAGTATGTTATTTCTTACATTGCATTTTGTTGCATAGCCCTACTAGGCATATGTTGCAACTCAGAAGCCAATGTATGGAAGGAATTTCAAATGTAGATTTATTTAAAGAGCATTCTTGTGGGCAAAAATTATAGCATGTTCTGCCTAATTCAGAATTCCTTGGTGAATTAAGAAAAAGTGCATAAAAAAGAACTATAGGATGAATAATTATAAAAAGATGACAATGAAACTATTTAACTCCACTGGGAATATTAATCTGCAAGCCACTTGAAAGGCTTTTTTCCATGTCCCTGTTAAAGGAATTTGTATTTGAAATTGCCTGACATTTAGACGAGTAGTTGTATGCAAAAGGAAGTAAGCTTGCGATTAAGTCTTAACTGATAGTGATGAGAAATAGCACCAGCAAAGGTGGCTTAAGATGGCAGTTACCTGGCATCACTAAACAAAAGATAAAGATCTTATTTTCAGAGCTCCATTTTCCTTTTTGAGGACAGTATTTTGCAAGAATATATTACACTTAAAAATAAATTGAGGCAAAATCTTAATATTTTCATATATATATATAGCCTAGCATCCAACTGCTGCTCTGATTGGCAAGATTCATCACTGTAATTCATTCTTGCCAGTGTTTTCCTCAGCACAACTACTACCCTCAACCAAATAAGACGGCCTCATTCTGGATGAAAATTTGCTTCATAAACAAATTCATGTCCATGGATTTTTTAAAAGTCACATACAGTCATAAGCTGCTTTGGTAATTGCCTTTGCTGCATTCTTCTGAATATCGGGAACAGTAGAGAGTTCTACAAATGAAAGTAGCTTTTTAAGGCCTCCTGTCTGCTGAATCAGTTGCAGAGTATGCACATCTTCGAGACAATTTCCCAACACAGCAAGAGCTTCCACATGTAGATCGCTGAATTCCTAATAAGGAAAAAATCTCTTCAAGAAACAATAAAGAAAACCCCCCTTCAAATCAGGATTAAAATACCTTGGCCTTTTAACTTTGCAGTATAATTGTCATAACTTTCTTTTGGACAGTTTATTCATACTGCAAAGTACATCTTTTCATACTTATATTTTTTGCATAATTTCTTTGGTGTGCCTTAGGATGCAACACAATTTATCAAAAACAGTGAAAACCCTGAAAGTTTCTCCTTTACATCAAAGTTGGTTAGGCAGGTATTCAGAAAGGACTTGTCATCTTAAAATTTCAAAAACTTCACAAATTGCTCTATGTATTATATTTCCCATGGTGACATTTGAACTCAAGAACCACTAAAATGAGTCTGATAATAACATAAACAATGAAATTTCCAAGGTAGGAAATTATATTTAAGGCTATTGATATCAAAGTAAATTAAAAAAAAAAGATCAGTGTTCAAACCAGGAACCAGTAACAAAGTTCAGCATATAATAACAAATTTTGAGAAAACATCATGTAAAAAGCTATATGGTGAATTTTTCTGATATTTACAACAGTTTGAGAAATGGACAGTAAATGCGAAACAGTATTACTAATAGCAATAAAGCAATAAAACAAATATAAACATCTCTTTGCTCCCTTTCTTATTAAGCTAGGTATCCTAGCTTATCCTATTTCTATCATAGTTATCCCCAACTAAGGAGCTCTTTATTCTTTTATCACTCTTCCATAACATGAATAATATTTCTCATTAGTCATACAAACATTAGCACAAGAACAAAAAACTTTTAATGCAAGTAAACCGTACATTGGTTTCCAGTATCTTCAGAAGACAATCTAATCCTTTATTTTCTCCCAGTATTATCCTGGTTTCTCTGTCTTTGCTAACTACTTCTAAGGTTTTAAGGGCTAACAGCTGAATAACCGGGTATTCAGATTTCAGTAGTTCCAACAAGGGTGGGATTACATTCAATGCACGAACTGCAGCACGGCTTTGAAAATCCTGCAGTAAAATATTCAACAAAGAATGTTAGTGATAGAGAACATAACAGTACATCAATTCCTGACTTTACAGAAAGAACACCAAAAATCTGATTTCAAACATAAAAAAAATGAGTCAATATTCCAGAACTTCAAGTTCTGAAGATTTCTTTCTTTTCAGCTAAGAATCAAAGTGAATATAATCAAGCCCCACCAACTTCAAATTCCAATTTTTTTGCACAACTGAAGTACACACTACAGAATCTAATTCTGTCTAAGGAAGCCTATCTACTCTTGGTTTTGCCATGTTTGTGTCAACATACATGTTTCTTTGAGAAAGTTTTTTAAATTTCATTTCATCATTTTTATTTACCTCAGTGGGGAAAAAATAGTTTTCATACACTCCTGTGGTTGCCTGGTTGTATCTTCTTTTGTTTTAGTGATTATAAAATGACAATTTGAAATTTCAACTTTAAACAGTGTATATGCAGCTTAATAAAAAAAAGAGTAGTAGATTATATTAAAATAGGAAAAAAAATAAATAAATTACAATTTGCTTTTAAATAGCTTATTGCACATGTGCAGCATGCAATTATCCTTATCAATATAAGCAAGCACCAGGTGCAGTTATCCAGATATACTCTGCAACAAAGACAGCGAGATAGTAAAAAAGGAGAAAGAGTAAAATGTGATTCTGAATAGACATGCTCTGATGCACCAAAAGAGATAGAGTTATAAACTGAATTCATTATTGAATTGATTCGCTTAAGCCATGGAAGAGAACTGCCATACAAATGCACCATTCTTTTGCTAAGCAGCATATGGATGACGTTGGTGCTGAGTGTGAAAGTAGCCAATAATGAAATCTATTCCTCCCCGTATGGAAAACAGCTGTTGACAGCATTCACCTATCATTAAAAAGATGTTCAAAATTGTGACTATGGACTTGCTGGACAAAACAAGGCACAATGCAATTGCTAGTTCTTTAATTTACAGAATTATTCCAACCTTTTGGATAGACAGGTTAGAACTCTTATTACGAAGATTAACATTTTCCACTAAGAAAACAAATTCATATTTAATTAAAAAAATCTGAATCTGATTCTGATCTCACCTACATTGCTGTACAGCATGGATAATCTCATTAAGTTCAACAGAATTAGAGTAAAATCAACTATATTCATAACTAATGTAATAATCAAGGACTTGGGTGTAACTGTTTTCAAACACATTGATGTACACCGGGGAGTAAAGGAACCAAATATTTTGAAATTATTAACCCCACAGAGGATGGCATGGGTTAGGGGGAAGTGCTTATCTGCCTCTATAATTTAAAACAATGACAACAAACTTTACCTGCACCAGGAGGTAGATACATTCAACTGAATTCTTCTTAACATCAGGATCAGGGCTACCTAGCAGTCTGATAAGTGGTTCTAATCCACCTTGCTCTAATATTTGTACTTTAGTAGTATATTCAACAGCCATATGTGCTAGACAGAGAGTAGCAAATTCATGGATAACTACATCCTCTATAGGAAAAAAAAAAGAAATATTTCGATCAAGTTTTATTCAGCACAGTAAATGTTCACTAATTCAGAGGTTTAAAATACTATTTGAAGTCAATAAGCAATAGCTGTTAATCACACCCGACATCTCCATAAACATGTTGCTCCATCTGTACAACATAAAACACTACTCAGTGAGTAACAGAGCTACTCCGATAAAAGCAATTACCTATTTAACATGTAGTATGACAAATCATAAATTCCAAGGAAGATTTTATTAAATTCTCCAATCAAATGGCAATCATAAATTATTTCTGAGTGTATTTTTGCACAAGGTATGAATACTGCAAGCTACCTTCTGGCGCCAGCTGTGATATAAGTGAATTTGTGGCATCCAGTTCCCTCAGTAACTTCTTGACATCATCTACAATGAAATAAATACAAATATGAAGTCTTTTGTTTGGCAGCCTTGGCTGAGTAAAGAAACAGATTCTGCTCCAAGGGAAGTGTACTTATGGTTACTCCCTGTGTGACAAAAAGCTCTGAGTGGGAATGACACACAACTCTAAGTTATATATACACAACTATAAGTTATATACACATAACTATAAGTTATACCAAGATAATAACGGGCCCAGAAAACACAGAGCAGATTTTCAAGTACCAGATGACATTCTTTGACATTTGATATACACAAAGTTCCTCAACACTTCATTGAAACTTTATTCAAAATACTTGTATCTAGCAGGTTCTGATGAAATATCACACTGTTTTAGTTGTCAAAGAAGTCATACCCCAATAATTAAAATTATGTGTAGTTAAAATTATCAAACTAAAAGCAATCCTTCCATTATTTAATTTTCAAGCCATCACCTTCTAATTTTATGCTAACACAGCCCACACTGCAAATTGAAAGCATGAATTATATAGGTCTTATTAAAATTATAGTAAAGACTTTCAGAATGCATTTTTATTCTTGTCAATTGCAAACTAGCAAAACCACCACCACTGGATAGAATAACCAAAAAACATTCTTTGGGACAGAATTCATGTGACCTTACAAGGCTGTGTTGTTCCTATCAACACATTACAGTGTTGAAATGTAAGAAAAAAGGTATGAGTTGAATTTACTTTTAAAGAAAAAAACAATTAAATGTGAATATAAATGGAAGATCTTCAGTCATTCAAATCCATGTTTGTGCAGCAGTGTTGGAAGCCAAGGCCTAAGGGGAATGACTGTATGCTAGTGCAGAGCTGGAAGTAAGGTAAAAAGCATAAGGTCCAGTGCAACATAAAAAGCAGGTAGCAGTTGATGAAAAGACTTAAATAATGGTTAGGATACCACCATGGAAGGCAATTGGGTAGAATTTGGCATCTACCAAAATAAGACCTGATTAATTATATTAATTAGATGCAGGTTTATAAAGCAATGTAAAAATAACAGCCACTGAAACTCAACCTTACGTCACTTACTCTTTCATCTTCAGGTATGTCTACCTACCACTCACTGCAGCTAGATCATTTGGCACTCAGCCACCCAGCATGGATGTAATACATCCATTCTCAACTTATAAAAAGGTACAAGAAAATCTGCATATACTGTGGTTAAATCATTTAATAATGGTACGGCTACAGTTGGTACACTACCTTGCCATGAGTGCAATGTCTCTGAGAGATATTCAAGACCACTTGAATTTCACTAGCTCAGATACAGATAACAAAACATTTACAGCAGCACTAACCTGCCAAAGAAGCTGGGTAAATATGTATGCCAATGCTTGATAGTTCAGGGCTTTTTTGCCATCAATACTTGCGCTAGCCACTTTAAATTTAACATATTTTGTCCCTCATCACTGTAGTTACAGTAATGCCTCAAGTAACAAGCGATATTTAACCATAGCATCTTCTGTAGATGATAAATACTACTTTATCATTCTATTCCAACTTTTGTAAAAGAGAAGAGTGTGTCATGTCCACATTGGCGGGCATCTTATGTAGTCAGACTTTCCCTAATAGACATAATTCCAGTATTAAACTGTTTCAGTTTGGTCCTGTCAAAACCAAAATAAAAGTTGGAGGAAAATCAACTTCTCTTGTAATTTTTTTTTCAAAATCAGTGGAGTTCACTCTAGCTGAATTTGTTCCTTTATTCTGGGCTGTTAATATAGGATTTTTCCACATGGGCCACATATTGCTTTGATAACCACACTCATACACATTGAAAAATATTAAAAAATGAAGACTCTTACGATTAGAAGCCATGATGCCAAATACCATGATGGCATTTCTACGTACAATTGGATCTTCATGTGAGATGAGTTTATACAGATGTTCCACTGCTCCAAGACCAAGAAGTGTCACTTTGTTTTCATCACCTGGAGAATAATTAGGTTAAAAGTTCTATAAAAATGCAACAAGCTCACAGTTCTAACATAACAAAGTAAAACAGCTACCAATCTTTTATTGGACTGTAGAATCAAAGAACAAAGGCCTGGACAGGACTTTGGGAGATTGTCTAATCTATACCCCAAATAAACATGTGTCAAATAGAATCAAGGTTTAATAGTATCTACAATTAATTCACATTTGTAAAGCAAAGGATGCTTCTGTCTATTGGACACCCAACTCATTTGTTGGAGACTGCAGTGGTAGTACAAAGGACAGCTTTCTATTTAGTGAAGTATAGGTGAATGATATAATTTAAAAACTCATTTTATTTTCCTCTTTTCTTGCCTCCTAATTTTATTTTCCTCAAAATAACAGTTAATTCATTCTGTGGATCTGCACTACTCATCAACTGAAGTAACTACCAAGATTTGGATCATTAAATCCCGCCTGAGATTTCTGTCACCTGGGAATGGAGCACTTTGTAGCTGCATAGGCTCTGGCCATGCAAAGAACGAAAGCGTTTTGTATGATTACAGCCTTCTGTTCCTGGTCAAGCAAAAAACATCCAAAACCCAAGAAACAAAATCCCAAACCTACTCCTATTCTTAGTTCCCACAACAGCTTTTCTAATTCATTTTCTAATGAACCATGCCTATCCTTTCTGGCTACAAGTGAGCAGTGTGAGAAGAAACTGGAGAACTACGCTCATTCTCAGGCCAAAACACAATTAAAATACAAGAACTACTTTTTATTGAGGGATGGGACTTAATTTACTAGCAACATTCAAGAAATAAATTAACTGCAAAGTGAAAACAACTCCTTCTCTTGTGCCACACTGCAAAGTTATAGTCTTCTGGAAGATTGCAGAAATATCTACATTAACAATTTAAAGGATTATTCATTTAGTAGAAACAGAAAAATTAATGATCTGTCCTCTTGCAGTGTGCCATATTTTACTGTGGACAGCAGGGAAGGAGCCAACAAGAGTTTACAGTGTGTGGTTCATAGCTGTCTCCCAACAGTCCAAATTCCCTCTTCACATATTCAAAACTTGGTTACACCCCCTCAGCCAAGCTTGCCATATTAAGCTGAACCTAAACAGCTTTCAGAACCCAATGATCCCTAGCCAACTGTCAAAGCCCTTCAGCTCTTCTCTCACAACTTTAGCAGTGTTGATAATTGCCATCAGTACAACAACCAGCATATAAACCCGTAATTTTTAAGAAAACACAAATTAAGTGGAAAATAATATTAAAACAGATTAATTCTATCAAGAATGCTACCAGTGTATACCAATTTGAGTGGCTAGCATGGTATAAGTAGGAGGCAACTTAGGATACTATGTGCTACGTAATTTTGAGCCTCCCAAAACATACAGAAATAAGCTTGATAAGGGAGGCTGAGCAGTCTCCAATAAATCATCTGTCACAGAAGTACTGACAAAAAAGCTATATGCAAAAATAACAGAAACAGGCTAAAAGGTAATTTTCATTGAAAACTGAATCTTGAAATAACTACAGTGGTACAGAAGTTTCAAACTGCTAACATAAAAAAGAGACTTCTTTCCCATATGCAGGTCTGTTGCTCATAACAAAACAGATCTAGGTTATATTTAAACCAAGAGAATGTAAAATCCTGTAACAAAATGATAAAAATTTCCTTCATGCAAACTGCAAGACTGCTTTATAACTGCAAATATAGGTTTGATAGATATTTCAGAAACCCCCCAAAACCTTGAGAGAGACCTTAGAGATTAAATGAAGATATTAGTGCTAGGGAACTAAAAAATTGTGAACTACTATCAAAATCTAAGCAAACCAAAGGAAAGCTCATTGCAAAAAGACTAACCTTTTGATGCAAATTTGTACAGAGCATCACATGCTTTGGCCAAAACTTCCTCTTCAGGAGAACTAAGCATTAGTACAACTGTTGCTGCTGTTCTGCTTTCAATCAATAGAGGATCAAACTACAAACAAAAAAAGGAAAGAATAGTTTGATTTATACTGAGCCTTCCCATGTGCTGCAGTAGACTCCCACATTTCATTTAAAAAAATTCTAGTTTGAGCTCTACACTGATTTAGAAATATTAACATGAGTTGCCATTCACTCGAAGAAATTCAATTTTTTAATAACACTTTGAGACATTGTTGAAAAAATAAGAAAGAATAATTGACTTCCAAATGTAATCATTGTTTCACCCCGTATGAAGATTTTGGGAAAACCTTGACACTTCACTGTATATCTAGGAAGTCTCGAAGGCAACAAACTCTGTAATACAGTTATACATGTAAAAGCATCCTGCAGCTTTGGAACCAAACATGAGAAGAATTTTCTTTTGAACAGTTGTGAGACCCTATGAACTTAGGTGTTGTAGAAGCAAGAGGATTTGGTTACTCTGTGGCATTAACACTTCGTGGTGGCTTTAAGAAAAATAAAAAATGACCCTTCTTGTGCCTTCATCAACTCAGTTCGCTAGCTCATTATGATCCTGTAACAGCTGAAGTATTTCTCTGCTATATAATCCCTGCTCATCCAACTAGAAACGATAAAAAGTATTCATTTCTATTTCCAACCTCTTTCATACAGTAAGAAATCTCCTAACAAATCTGGCAGTTTTCACCCTCTTAATAGACTCTTTAGGACTAACATCACTTGAGCAAGGGAATCGTCAAAAAAAGCCTTTCATTCTTTAACAAGACTCAAAGATTTCTGAAAATTCTAACCATTAAAAAGTTTTAAGCTTATTTGGTTTTAAAACAATTTTTTAATATTAAAAAACTGTCTTCTGTCCTCACACTTTAGGCCTATCGAGTATCTGTGCTGCATAAAGAAGCAACTAGATACTGGAGTCATGCAGTCTCTCAATATCAATGTATCTATCTTTAAAATACAGTTTAAGAGAGCAATGCAAATAATTTTAAAATATTATTACAATGTGGATTTATACCATATATATTTTTAAATGTCTATTATTTGGTTTACTTCATTTAAAAACCCTCTAATAGCTACATCAGAGGCACATGTTGCTGAACAATAGGGGCATGAGGACACATACAAGTCAGTTGTCAAGCAACAAAATTATTTGGAGCAAATCTTCCAAAAAGTTATGAGTGTGCTAGAAGGAAAATGAACAAAGAGGAGGGTTTTTTTCTTCTCCCACCTCTGACTTGTTAAAAAATAAGGCAAAATAGGATACTAGTACCCAGACTTCTAAATTCATATTTTTGGTAGGTTTTTAAATCTAAATAACTTCATCACCTTCCATGAGGCATCTCACACAATTTAACAGTCTGCAAGATCAAGATCCAAGTTTCATTAACAGTTAAGAGGTTGCCTGGCTAATGTGCTTAATTGGTCTCCCTAGCTTCAAGCAGGTTTAAAAACCTGAAGACACTGTCCAATTTCATGCTTGTTGAGACAAGCTGGAGGCATGGGACAAATCATGGAACAAAGCTTGTTTTTAAAGAAAATATAATCAGCTTACTGTACCATAAGTAATTTTGCTTAATAATGACTCTGCAACAAGAATTAAACCAAATACTGGCATAGTGGTCCAAGTTACATCTTAATGATGGGCCTAAAATGATGAAATTCTTTATGGGAATTTTCTTTTTGGATTGTAAGGAGGAAAAAAATTCAGCTTATCACAGCAATTATTCATTCATTCATTCTACCCACATGAGAGGCATACAGCAGAATTAAAAGATGACTGAAAGTCCCTTTAGCCACCTTCATACTGCTCTACTTCTGCACATTTCTGTCCTTGCGTGGACAGAACATGATCCTCCAGGTAAGTGCTATGATTTAAGCACAGACATATCTCCCGAGTCTGGTCAAATACTTGGTGATGGGATAAAACTGTAATTTCTAGTAAAGGCTGTTAGCCCTCCAGAGAAAAATAAACATAAAGGTTGACCTCAGGTAAAGTTTAATAAGAAATGAAATATGAAATAAGAGTTTTAAATCTCAGTTATTTATTTACATTGATCTAATACCAAAGACACTATTATGTTCCATTTTTGTTGCCTCTCATGTTCACAAGTAATCTTATTAACTATAATTCAATGATAATTCCTAGGATTTAATGACAGATTGCCACATGAACAGAATGAAATTGGTCTAATCTCTACCCATTTGTATAGAAATTAGATTCACTACTACCATCTGAAATATTCAACAGGCACTTTCCTATTAGAACCAGTTTTGTGCTGAAAACACAGTAAGAAGGGTCACTGAAATGAATGTATGCTTAAGAAGTCAGAGACGTGAGCCGGTCTGTGATTTGCTGGGAAGTAACATTGTTCGTCAAAACTACTATAGAACTGAATATGACTTTTTTTTACCATAATGCCAGCATAGATAAGAATCATTATGGTTGGAAGATACCTCAAAGATTATCAAGTCCAACCATCTACCCAACGCAACCATGCCCACTAAACCCACTAAACCATGTCTTGAAGTGCCACATCTAAACACTTTTTGAACACCTCCAGGGATGGTGAGTCCACCACCTCTCTGGGGAGCCCATTCCAATGCCTAATGACTCTTACAGTGAAGAAATTTTTCCTAATATCCAACCTGAACCTCCCCTGGTGCAACTTGAGGCCATTTCCTCTTGTCCTATCGCTAGTTACCAGGGAGAAGAGACCAACCCCCACCTCACTACAACCTCCTTTCAGGTAGTTGTAGAGGGCGATCAGGTCTCCCCTCAGCCTTCTTTTCTCCAGGCTAAACAACCCCAGCTCCCTCAGCCGCTCCTCATAAGACTTGTGCTCTAGGTTCTTCACCAGCTTTGTTGCTCTTCTTTAGACGTGCTCTTGTAGCTCAATGTCCTTCCTGTACTGAGGGGCCCAAAACTGAACACAGTATTTGAGATGCAACCTCACCAGCACTGAGTACAAAGATATACATACATACATCATTGCAGACTCTTTCCTTAATGGCACATACAGGGCAGATTACGTGCTAGAATAGTATGCCTGAAGTTACAAACAACCTTGAATTAAACACAGAAATGTAGCTGGTTTATAAGCAACAACATTTCCAACATTCAGTTTGTATCAAGACAAAAGCAAGTTAAATGAAAAAGAAAGCTATAATTCAAAAACTTCTATATGTCTTTGATCATGATTTTTGTGTACCTTTGACTCCAAACCCATTAGAAACTGCAGAGTACTTGGGTGGGTTTTTTTTTGGCTTCCATCAACTTAGTTGAAATTGAAGGTAATACAAAATATGTTTCCAGTCAGACCAAAGACCCATCTAGCCCAGCATCTCGTCTTCGACAAAGGCCCATAACAGGTGTGGGCAAGCAGACTATTAAACTTTGCTTATATTCCCTCCCTGACTCCAGCACTCTGCAACCTAGAGAACTGGAGAGCTAGCAATTTTATCTCTGTGTTCAAAAAGTCCAAGAAAAAATTTCCACCAGTTGGTAAATAATTTTTGAAGCCGTCTGTATTTTAGCCACCTTTAAAATTCTGAGGCACAAATATCACAATTTAACAGTCATATAAATAGTTGTGCCTTTTCTTTGCTTTAAAACTGCCACCTGGTAATTTTATTTGTCCTCCACAGTTCATTTACCGTAAGAAACAGCAAAATAAGTGACACCCACTTGCCTTCTCTGTATATTCATCGCTTTATAAGTTTCTATGATATTCTTCTTCACAGTCATTTCCTTTGATCTTTCCTAATACAGAAGCCACTTTGTCTATTCTTGTTGTCTGTTTTAGTACTTTTCTATAGTTCAACTGCACCTTTTCTGAGATGGAAACATTAGAACTGTGAATGGCATTCAACATGTGCATGTATAATGCATTTGCTAGTGACATGGTGTTTTGCCTTTTATTTCTGGAATTTGAAATGTTCTGTTTATTCACTTTTGCCCACTTAGTAACTGGCTGCCATTTCCATGAAAGTATCCACATTAATTCTGATAAACTGGAAGACACAGGTTGCAGAATAAAACCCCATGACATTCCCCTGGCAACCTCTCTCCGTTATGAAACCTGAACAGTAATTTGTTTTCTCACCTTTGCTTTCTATTTTATAACCAGACATTATTGTCAAGAGAGGAATTTCTTTTTACCCGTTAGTATTTACGTGAGTGAAGAGCCTGGTCTAAAAACTTTTGAAAAAGCTAAATAACTGTATCAACCAGATCACCACTATCCACTTGCTCACTGATTCCTCTGAAGTATTAAAATAGATTTCAGAGATCGAACTTTCCTGTACACAAGCAGTATTGATTCTCCCCCATTACTATCATATTTCTCCATGCATCCTCTTTTTTTTTTTGGTAACTATTTCTACCAATTAACACAGCATGGAAAACAAATTTTCAGTAATTATTGATTTATTTCTTTTTGAAAATGAAATTTTCTACCCTCTGTTCCTCTAGTACAAAGGGTACATATTAAATACCATAAGTAACAGTACCACAATTTCAGATTTTAGTAATTTTTCAGTTAGAACAAGACCTGGGCAAATACTATTTGGGCAATTTCTTTACATCTGTTATGGTGATTTGATACATATCTTTGTCTTTTGACACAAAAATAAGTCATTTTGCTTTTCTTATATGACTTTAATCACCTAGTAGTGTCCCTCTAAGAAGCTTCTTGTTTCTAGTCAGTTTGGAAAAGCTTTATTGCTAGTTTTTGTATCCTTGCTAGTTCTCTCCCAAAATATTTTGGTGCATTGTGACATTGTGCTTTTACTTCTCATTTGTGAGTGCAAGGGGTTTTTTTGTTTTCCCAGTTAGATGCAAATCCCACCTTTTGAAGGATGTATTTATCTGCTATTTTTCTATTGTTTAATCATGCTGTCATTTTTTAAAAAATCCTTTAAATTTGAATTAATTGGCTATGTCTGCTTTATCCTTGCACCTTTTGTAGACTCTTTAAAAACATTACTGATATCTTTGATATTCTTAATCCCTTTTCCTTTACCTAGAAAAACAGAGTTAATATATACTTGCTCATGCTAATTGTTTGAGTTCTGTCATTGTCTGATCTCCTATACTAACAATAGAAAACTAAGATATTCCACTGATGAAAAACAGTTGATGTTAGAAGGCAAATCTGGAGATGATCTGGTCCAACTACCCTGTTCAGAGCAGGGTCAGCTAGAGCTCAGGGCTGGTGCACAGTCTGATTTTTAATATCTCCAAGGACGGAGACTCAAGCTCTCTGGGCAACCTGTGCCATGTTCCATCATTCTTACAGTAAAAGCGGATTTTTTTTCTTATGTTTAAATGGAACCTCGTGGGTTTCAGTTTGTGCCTGTTGCCCCTCATCCTTTCACTGGGCACCACTGAGAAGAGCCTGGCCTGACTTCTTTACTCCCTCCTGCCAGGTATTTATACATATTGGCAAGACCCCTCCAAGCTTTCTCTCAAGACTGAGCAGTTCCAACTGTCAATCTCTCCTCACATGACAAATGCTCCAAGACTTTGGCAGACTTGTTCCAGTACGTCCATGTCTGTCTTGTACTGGGAACCCAGAACTGGACACAACAATCCAGGTGTGGTCTCACTGACCAATGTTGAATGGAAGACAACAGTCCCCTCTCTCAAGTTGCTAGCAACACTCTGCCTAATGCACTCCAGGATTTTGTTAGCTTTCTTTGCTTCAAGTGCACATTGCTGGTGCATGTCCACCAGAATCACCAGGTCCTTTCTGGTAAAGCTGCTTTCCAGCTGGTCATCACCCAGGCTGTACTGGTTATTCCTCCCGCAGGTGCAGGACTTGGCATTTCCCTTTATCGAACTTAATGAAATTCCTATTTTCCTATTTCTCTAGTTTGTTGAGGTCCCTCTGAATGGCTGCACAATCATCTGGTCTGGTAATCCCTCCTCTCAATTTCATCTCTTCTGCAAACTTGCTGAGGGTGCAGTCTGTCTCATCATTCAGGTCACTAATGAAGAGGTTAAACAGTACCAGCCCCGGGATCAGACCCTGGGGCACAACACTAGTGCCTGACCTGCAGCTGGACCTCATGCTGCCAATCACAACCCTGGCAGTTCAGCTAGTTTTCAATTCACTTACACTGTCTATTTATCTTGTCTGTACTTCATCAGTTTGTTTATGAGGATGTTATAAGAGACAGTGTTGAAAGCCTTACTAAAGTCAAGTCAAATTAATATTTAGGCATTAATTGCTCAAAAGGTGTTTCTGTGGAGATTGAATTTCAGGAGTTGACGGTACCAATTCATGTATATTCTACCTTTTTAACATCCTGAATGACTTGTGAATGAAGCCATTTAAAAAAAATAGTTATCTATAGCTTGCTTTCAGTGACTATGCCTCAGTATTTTCTCTAGTGGTAATCTTAGGCTTCCCTTTTAATGTCTGTGTCCTAGCTGATGATCAAATAGTAATATTGTCTCGACGAAATCTAACGAAGATATCATATGAAAAGTTCCTATCAATCTATGTCAAAGCTAGCATATTTTATCTGCCTGAATTACTGTCTAAGGTCATCCATATACAGATAGAGGCTCAAAGTAATATTTTTCCTGGAGAAGCCCAATTCTCAAAACAGGTAATAGTAAAAGAGAAATTGTGAAAGGCAGGGAAAACAGAGTCTTCAGGAATACTTTCTGAAACATATAAGCAGTGGCTAGGCTAAGAGATGTGTTTTCCACCTGTTCCTAGAAATCTATAAAAACTAGTGGTCATCTGCAGTACTATATATTCTCAGAGCATTCCACATGCACAAAGGCCCTCTTTTATAAGCCTGACCACATTATCTCAAGGCTTCTTTTCTTGGACTTGACATTTTCATAAGCAGATTATCAATCTGAAGATAATAGCTAATACATCTTTTATTTTGTCTGCATCTCATTTCCTGCCATCTGAAAATTCAGGTGAAATTTAAATCTTTGAGATTTGATTTTACATGATTTCTATTAACAATATTCTCATAGCTAGAAGATTTTCTTAGTTGATAGTTACAACTAATCAATGATCTATCTTCATGTTTAATACTGTTTTGCTATGCAACATTCAGGTTTTTTTCTCCTGATAGGACTGCTAGAAGAGATACACTAGCCTGAAGTACAATAAGGGTAGAAACTAAGCAAAAAATGGCAGCTGCCATCTGGACTTCGCTCTTTCCAATTCTTTCCTTTTTAATAGTGTTACTGACCTTTTCTGTAAGTTTAATGTTTTCAATTGTCAAATATATTTTCTAACATTATTCACAGTTTATTGTAGTAGTTAGCAGGCTGTATCATACTTTTCTTCAGAAACTCTAATGGTGTCTTTTGGATCTAGAAATTGTGGTGCTGCTTCTACTGACTTTCTAGATATTTACTGAAAAAGTCAACTTTTATTACTTTGGAGGGGGTTAGCTCATCTGTAGCCTTAAATCTATTGTCATGCCTTCAAATTTTTTTCTTAGACTGCGAAGATACTTAGTTTTAATTCTTCAGGTCTGTTTTAATCAGTCCTCTCCACATATACCTTCTTTGTGTCTCCTCCTGGTTTTCTAGATTATTGTATACAGAAATAGCTTTAACCAATTTATCCTCTCATGTTGAAGTTTTATGTCAAGTCTCCTTTCATACAGATTTATTATTGATTGGAGCTTATGAATTACGTTTGTAATATTCATCTTTCCACAGAACAGTTGGGCAAAACCTGGTATCAATTGCTATGCCTCAGTAACATCATAGCTGTTGGATATTACTGTCTTAGTTAAAATTATTTATGCTTATTTAATATTGAAATTGTGACATAGTTTTGCTGATCAACTTTTCTATGATCTTTGAAAAAGCTCTTCCTTTACAGACAAACCCATCATTTTTTTTTAAAACAGTGTACTGAACTTTCCATTTAGTTTTATGCTCCTCTGTGGGACGCGTTGATGTCCTGATTTTCATTAACTTAGTTATCTGGCACAGAATCTATATTATACTCTTTTCAATGTTTCTGTCTTATTTCCTCTACTTCTTTCTAAATAAACCAATTAAACTTTAAAAATACTTATATTTTGAACATCTGTCTTTTGAGAGGTCTCTTTGTACCTTGTGAATTTATAGAAAACCTTGGAAACTGTGCTAGTGTCAGACCCTTTATCTCCACCTTTTGAAAAAAAGTCACATTATCACCATTATTGCATATTTGGCTTCAGCTCTTGTACTTCTCACTGTGGCACTTCCAATGATACCAGAAAAACCTGAACTGCTGCTAATGACTGTATATCTTTGCAAAAGATGCAGAATATGTAGGTTTGTAATGCAAAATATCTGTAAAATTTTGTATTCAGTAAAAAACTCTGCAGATCCATCTAGGCTCTTAACTCTTTCATCCTTAAAGAAAGGGAATGTCTCTATGGTTGAAAAGACAGGCAGATTTCAGGTCACTCTTCTTCTTTCTCCTTTGATTTTTACAAATGGAAAGTTAATACCATTCTTCAAATAAAACGAAGCCTGGATTGTTTCATACATTACTATTTGCAAAGCCTGCCAAAGCCAACAATCTCCACAAAGAGCTACACATGCCCAGTCACTCTGGTTTGTATGCTGTCCAGGAAAAGCAGAAACAGAATCATCTTTAAAAGACATTTTTAGAATAATGTGGGTAAGCTAGGAGAGTAAGGAACTACATAAGGATGGTAGAGCTGGGCCTGTAATTGTGTAATGTTTGTTTTATAGCACATAGCAGTTTATAAACTTACCACATCCTTGGGTGGAGGCTCTACTTCCTTCTTTACTTTTTTACCCATTCTGAAAACAAAAAAACAAACAAAAAAAACCCAAAAAATAAAAGCAGACAAACTCCCTTCTGTGTTTTAGGAATCCGTTTACCAGTGATTTAGGAAAGCTTGCAAGACAGACTTTCTCATACATTTGACTCACCTAATCAGCTTGAAGATTTCTTTGTCATAGAAATTTCTATGCAGAAACTCATCCCTTATAAACAAAACAAACTTTCTAAAACTTGAACACATTTGGTAAAATACAAATGTCAACAAAATACATACCTGAAAAGAAAGATCTGAGACACCACAGGCTCAAGTTGTAATGTGGTACAAATACCTAGGACATGCTTTTCTGTAAGTTGGTTTTATCTGTATCTATAAATCATATATGAACTTGAGGGCCTTATTAGGGTATTTCCCCATGTTTGTCTATACATTCTATGTTGGCAAACATTCTATACAACTGCAGAATGTACAAATAAGTTCTACCTTGAAAATGTAGTTCAAATTCAACTTGAATTCTTTGTTCATATTTCAAAGAAGACAAAAATCAGGTCTGCACAATACAAATTTGACTGATTTAAAAAAGTTACATCTATTTACACCAAGTCCAGCTTCTGTCTTCTGCTTTTTTTGTATTAGCACATATGCACGTGAACCAGGAAGACCTGCTCAGCTGCATCCAATAGTAGCTTCTGAACCATATGGATGTAATACCTCACGTGGACCTAATTTCATGTGGCTTGCAAAACGTCAGCAGATCCTTCCAGTTAAGCTACAGGCAAAAGTAAAGAGCAACATGACCCACTAGCACTACCTATGCATAGAACATACCCCAAGTTATGCCAAACTTAGGTTTGTTTTAACACTGTGTAAAAGTGAAATGCACACTGTTAGTGCATTAGTAATGCCTCAGTTAGTTCTCAAAGGGAAACCACACATTCATTCTCAGTCAGGACTATCTTGACAGCCTCCCTGTGGTATAAGAGATTATTTTCTAGTGCAATATCAGCTGTAGCCTCACTGGGTATGAAAGTCAAGGCTATTTTTTGTTGTGTTCAACAAAAATTTGGAGCTTTTCTTGAATCTTCTGAATTTTTTCAGGTATTGTTCCTCAACTGGGCTCTCAAATAAATTGTAACACACCAGTAGTAAAACCAGTTGATAAGCACATCCTAAAAATGGATCTGAAATTTAAAACTTCATAGGCAGGTCACTAATTACAGTTTTGAGAAGGAGACCCCTACAATCAAAGATTCCTCAGCTCCAATCTGCTTTACCCTTGTGCATATACACATACACACACACTACAAGAAAGTGTAAGGACAAATTACTGACAGTATATTCAACAAAAATTATGGACATACTACCTTCTGATTTAGGCAGTCACTGTAGAAAGTAAGCAGCATGCACACATACAAGAATCAGATTTATAAGGATATTCAGAAAATCTGGGTTATTTAAATTGTGTTAAATCCTGGTCTGGAGATATGGACACTTATTTAGAATTATTCAGTTCAGCTCCATTCATTTCAGATATAAATTAAGCTAAAGTCATAAAAACCAATTTTAATTCTGAATGAGTTTAATTAGGTTTAAATCAAACCATTTTAAAAGTTAATTCATGTAAAAGTATTTATAATGTTGTACAATTAATGTTCACAGATTCAAATAATTTTATATATTCCAAGACCATGAATAACTAAAGCTTTTAATTGTAAATATTTCTTCACACTGTATAAATACATCCAACTTCTGAGAATATTTTCAAGAAACTTATACAATTTCCTACATGTTCAGAAAGATTTGGTTCCTTGGTGATATTAAAAAAGCAGTATGATCTGTAACAACAAGCACAGAGAACAGGACAATTACCTCATTGTGGATTATGCCCCTCAGTTTGTTTCTTTGCTGCAGTTACTATTCTGGATTGCAGTGCATTCTGCCATCAGATGTTGGTGTTAGCTTTGTTCCCATAAAGCTCTCTGTATTCAGTGGTCATTCGCTGACTTGAGGCAATGAAGCACGTGGAATTCTTTGGCTTACTGATAATTAAAGATGTGTCTTCTGCATTGAATTTTAATTATCGCAGCCAATCAATGCATACAGGTACTGAAAGACTACTGACCCATAAAAGAACTTCTTATTGAAATCCCTTTCTCTCCATGATAACTGCATGCTGTCTTTTTCTCAGTAGTTTTAAAGTATGTATATCTTTGATTCTCAATTTACTATTTTAAATATGTAGAATTCAGAAAAAAATTGTAGCAGGATTTAGATTTTTAAATGTGATTAAATGCTGGGTCTATGTTACCTGAAGAACTTCTTTTAAAAACTAAAACTCTATTCACTAGTAATTAAGTCTAATTAATTAAACTAATTCCTGTAGAAACTGGCTGCTCATGGCTTGCATGGGCGTACTCTTTGCTGGGTAAAAAACTATCTGGATGGCCGGGCACAAAGAGTGGTGGTGAATGGAGTTAAATCCAGTTGGCAGCTGGTCACAGGTGGTGTTCCTCAGGGCTCAGTTTTGGGGCCAGTTCTGTTTCATATCCTTATCAATGATCTGGGCGAGGGGATCGAGTGCACCCTCAGTAAGTTTGCAGGTGACAACAAGTTGGGTGGGAGTGTTGATTTGTGCGAGGGCAGGAAGGCTCTACAGAGGGATC